TGAAGCTGAGAGGCTCCAATAGTTTGGCCACCTCATGAGAAGAGAAGACTCCTTGGAAAAGATCCTAATGTTAGGAAAGTGTGAAGGCAAGAGGAGAAGGGGACAACAGAGGACAAGATGGCTGGACATCGAAGCTACCAACATGAATTTGACCCAACTCCGGGAGGCAGTGGATGACAGGAGGGCCTGCGTGCTCTGGTCCATGGGGTCACGAAGAGTCGGACACAACTTAACGACTAAACAACAACAAATGCATTTAAGTAAACAATTCAGTATTACAGTTATGTAAAATAACAATGTAATTAAGTTTTTCTGCGGTAACACTGTAATGCAATTATCTTCTCAAAAGCCAACGTTTATGAGACTAATTTTATTTTTAACATTTCAGGGACAGCAAACATTTGGTTGTCAACAGAAGCAGCTGCCTTTTCAGTGCAGCAAAGTTAGCTAACAAATCCCCACACAAGATCTGTGCACGGGTGTATCTTATCTGTCATGACTAATTTGCAGCATTCTCCAGAATGTGCCTGACCTATATTGTCAGCTACTGCAGAGAAGTTGTGTATTTCAGTATGGTGACAGTGACAACTCTGCTGGATGTTAGAGGGTCAAGGCTCTAGAGTAAAATCCGTGATTTCAAGCAGGCATAGACAGCTAGAATTACTGCACATCCAAATTCATGACAGTGGTATCTGGGGTCTCTTCGCCATTTTACAGGAAGGTGATTTGTAATTCAACTGCCTGGGATTACAAATCACAAGCAAATTCAACTGCATACAATCTTGCTGAACGTCGATATAAGGGATTCTAGATGTGAGTGCATCATCATGGAGCAGGAATAAGCTTATCTGTAGTTCAGACATAGTCACAGTAACACTTGAACAAAGGTCTTAAACGTCCTGTGCCTTTAATACAGAGAATGCCTTCTTAAAAAGCCTTTTAAAAATCAATTTTATAATTACCTGGATCACAACCCGAGGAGACTGAGAGAAGTACCATAAAGGAATTCCAAAGAGACTAATTAGTGCCGTTTTGGTCTCGTAAGTCTCTGAACAGCGGGTACTCAAAATGCTGCCACCTCAATAAAAGACACAAACAGGAACCCCATAAGATTTGTTTATAAAATGGTGCATGTTTAGTTTTCATATTAAGGAAACAGGAGCAGATTCAGGTAGGTGGGCCCCTTCTCCCATTCCTTTCCCTTCTGGAGTGAATTCGCCATCACCACTACCTTAAAAGCAAAGAGAAATCCCTTCTTATCCATGGGTCCTGCCAACTAAGGCGCTAGCCTAATTAGGATAAGAAAACATTATTTCCCTCTGCAAATAAAATGCCCTTAACAGAGGGAGGAAAAGAAAGCTAGATTGTCTCATAGAGTATTGTTTAGTCCATCTAAAGAAGTGAGGCTGGAAGTCCAAATCTTCAGCCAAATTATGAAGCCTTTCAGTTGAGGCGGATCCTACCTGCTTTAAAATCAGATTAGCAAAAAACCATGGGTTGAAACTGAACTAGATGATATATATATATATGGGAGGGACATTACATTGTAGTACAAGTTATGTGTTATAAAGTTAGTGCTGCTGCTATGTGCTGTACCTTATAAATAATCCAAAAGTAGTACAACAAGAAATCAGAACTTTGACAGCATTTGAGGAGGTAATATCTTATAACAATGAATCTAAAAGTGTTACTTCATCTATTTATAAAATATTGAATAGCAGAACATCTGGACTTTTTGTAGGTTTAAGACTGGCATGGGGAGAATATAATAATAGAAATACTGCAGATTATGATTAGGGAACAATATGGGAAAACAATATAGCTTTGAGATAGCCAATAATCTAAATATAAATGTCTGCAATCAAAACTAGATCTGAACGTTGTCTTTCTTTTAAATATATTGCTCACTGCCTTTAAAACAGACTAAAAAACCAAAACAAACATGCTTCCATCTGAATTACCTCCAGATTCCAAAGCGAAGTCTACCATGCCAGTCTTGTCTTGAGAATACAGCTTCAGGGCATTGTTGACAATAATGTGTGCTTGCTGTAAATATACACAGAAGTAGTAAGAGTAAGTGAGAAATCGAGAGGAAATTCATAACATTGTACTTCAACATTATGGTAAGTCAATGAATGTTGTGCACTAACAAGGGAACACTTCTGCCAAGGAAGTTTGTTTTATAATGTCTCTATTGAATTTAACATGCTTTTAAAAGCAATATTACATTTAGCGGTCTTATCTCAGGTTTTCCTTTCTTGCTTACCGCTTCTGTGATGCCTGCAATCCCAGCTTCGTTCACAACACTTGTCACAACTTCTGAAGTTGACTTCGTATTTGTGACAGATAGGTGGTGAGTTATATTCTTGAGAATCTGCAGCTCCAGATCTTGTAACAAGACCTGCAGGTCACTCTTGCTCACAAATCTGGAGGTTAGCCACTGAAGCAGTGATTCTGGCAAGTCTCCTTGTTGGTTGCCAAACAGCATGAACTTGACAGATTCTTTAACCTGGGCATCTACCTAGAAATATACCATATAATAAGTTATCTTACTAGTTTCAGATCACTTTCAAAAGACCATAATTGCCATATTCCTGGATTTATTATAAATCCATCCATCCATCCATCCGACTATCACGACCACCTTATGTGAGCGTAACTCCCTCTTTCAGTTCCAACCCTGCAACATTTAATCCTCATTATCATTGTTATCAACAGACATGTCAGGGATAGGGAACATTTTAGATTAGTAACTCTAAAAAGGTAAAGGTTCCCCTTGACAATTTGTCCAGTCATGTCTGACTCTAGGGGGCAGTGCTCATCTCCATTTAGTAACTCTAGATGATGTATTAACTGAGTGAGCCAATCATCTGCTTGTAAATGATCTGTGAAATACACCACCCACTACACAAATATAACATTTTGCCTTTCATTAGGCATCTCTTTAGAACTTGCCTTTTCATGAAGTGTATCCATTTTGTCACAGCAAGTTTTCAAACTCTGTGAATTTAGCAGCTCTGATTTCATGTGAGCCAACTCAAGTTCTAGATGTTTAATCTTGGATAAGAGGTGCTGGTTTTGTTCATCTCTGTCACTGAAACACCAAAAAGTAATGTAACTGAGATTTCAGACAGCAAAACTATTTGCATCAAAATCAAGGGAATACCTTTTGAGATGTAAGAAATACAAATTTCTTTATCATAAATGAGAAAAATTTTGAACTTCTGAATGCAAACTAGATTGATGTTTGTACAGTTACTGAATTAAACTGAGTAACTATTTGAAATGCAGGTAAGAGGTGGCTTTGGGCATTTACCCAAATATGTAAGAGTCACTACTGTGTCTCCTGTCACCACTCCCATGTCTGTTCTTAAGGGAGAGAAAATGGCATGTGTCCTTTGCTTATGGAAAGGAGAAACACATCCTGCTACTATGCAGTTAGATGATGCAAAAGGAGAGACAGAGGGCTAGCATGAATCATTTAGATTTTGTCACTACAGTGGGAAATCTTTAAAACCATCTAAGATATGAAACTATGTTGGAAGCCTTTGGCCCGCCTGACCTTCTGGACTTGAACTCACAGTGGTCCCAGGCACTTCCTAGACTTTTCTTGTGAAATAAAGTTCACAAAGTTTCTACGTCTAGCCTGTACTAAAACCCATCCATATCTATAAAACTATCTTCTCTTCTTGAATCCAGTGTTAAAAAATAGTTGGAAGTAGTGCTACCTTCAGTTTCCAAGATATCCCCTGCCTCTCAGTAGCAAGATTCAAAATACAACATACAACCTGTAGCCATACCTAGACGTTTTTGCTTTGGTTAACTCAAGTTCCTTTTGGATTCCCTGAAATACAAAAATAAAATATTATTAAACCACATACATTCTCCATCCCCTTAATCATAAAGAATGATAAGAAAGGATCCTCACATAGCGGACACTTGGGACTAGTGGTTGTGGAAGTGGAAGGTGGGGCAGTAGATATAATATACTATGCAAGCTATCATTTAAAATTCATGACACCTCCTATAAGTTTTCATAGCATTTTAAGCAGCTCTGGGCTTGAACAGGGAGCATGCAAGTGACTTAAAATAATCCCTCTTAAACTACTGTAAGGTGGTTGTTATTGTAATCCAACTTTAGTTAATTAACTCAACATATGGCTATGGGGGCGGGAAGGGGGGAAATTATAAGAAAGAAAGGCACAGGCTGCCTTTCAGAGGACAGGCAATGACGTATTTCACATATGAGCTCCTCATAGGTCTGCTAACCACAGGGCTGAAACCAGAGGTTCATAATCTTATTTTCACTAGGGCTCCTGGCAAGTGAAAACCCTTCCCTATTTCTGTCTGATCCTCATCCAGAATTAAATCTTGATTGAAACCACTCCTGCATTAATCCCAGCACATTTCTTCACTTTTAGCAATAGCAAAAAAAGTTTTAAACTGGATACTGTTTTATAAAAGTGCTGTATCATATTTTAAGATATGGTATCTTAATACTTCAAAGATAATTCTGGCTTCTGAATTGGAGAACACTTCCGTGCATTTTAGTGGCTGAGGAATTAAAAAAAAAACCACACATTTTCTCCACACGTGCACCCTGTGAATTTGGTTTGGTTCACAAATTATGATTTTGCTAAGGCAATCCAAATGAAATTCTGAATGAGTAAGGATCAGAAGCCAAGTTTCATGTTTCCAAGCCAACTAAGCAATCATTTCTTCTCTAACCATTTTAAAAAATCAAAAATTTTTTAAAACTTTTTAAAAGAAATCTGTTCCCACTGTTACTGAGCTTCTGCCATGAAAGATCTGGCACGGCACTAAGTGGATGTCACAGAGGCTACTGGCTTGACCATCAATTATTGATTTTTTTTAATGAAACAGTTTGAAAAGCTGAAACAGGTAAAACAGAACTTCCTTTTTATACTCTTCTGTCAAGCATACTTACTTCAAAGCACTATGTGGATTCCACAAGGAACTAAGTCTATCAAATGTGCTAAGAATGACAGCCTTCATTATCTAACAATTTAGTATAGGAAAAAAGCAGGTAATTACCTCAGATTTTTCAGAGAGTTTTGAAAGCAGATCTTCTAAAGCAACAATACGCCATTCATGTTCTTGATGCAAGGCCAAGAAATCATGCTTTAAAAATAAAATGGCATAATTTTTAAAGGCATTGGTTTATGTTACAGTACTGAAAGCAAGAAATCCTTGAAATTATATCTCCAAATATAGCAAGATTTTAAGATTGCAATGCCAAATAATTAGAAGCCAGATCAACACAGAATGGCCAGAGGAACCATCCAGTTCAGTCTCGAACGGAAAAGAAGTAAAGTGAAATGCAGAAGCTATTGACCAAAATCCGATTGGAAAACACACACACATGCAAGGCAACTATGCAGCCTTCCCCCCCGCCCCCTTTCTGTCTTGCTGTCTGACATGCAATCCGGTCTGCAACTGCTTCCCTAATTCAACGAAGCAAAGGAAGTACAACAGATGTGCAACAGCACAAGTAGACTTGCTTGTACAGATGCTTTTTCACACTATGCAAATCCAAGAGATTCTGGTCAGTCATCAAAAAGTGCATTTTGTCCTTTGACCGGAATCCATCTGTGTCAAAACTGGCTAGTATTCAAAAAGCTCCTTTAAGGCACAGACAAGAGCTTTTTCATTGCCTTCCAAGTTTGGACAGCACCCCCCTTTCAACAGCAGACACATAGCTTTTCTCTCTCCTGTGTTGTAGCATAAAATGCTTTGAAACGTCTGGCATGAATGGATGGAGAAGTAGGAAAAGCTGCTGTCAAGACACACAAACCACCACATGGCATTGACTTCAAATAGTGACCAAATGGTAAGCTAATTGTACACATTTGTACTGAACATACTGCACATTCATTTTATATCAAAATGGGATTTTTTTCCTTAATTTTGACATCTTCAGTCTAAAGCAATGTATTTGCTCTAATGGAATGATAACAGGAGTGCTCCTCAGGGCAGATAATTATAATATGATTTGTGAGATAACTATCCAATTTCCTATGTCATTCGTCCTCCTGTAACAAAAGGATTACTGGATATTTTAAGGACAAGTCTATAACGTTTGTGCAAAAAATTGTGAAGTGGTAAGAAACAGTTCCACACAAAATTACCGTTGGTTGTGTTGCTTCATCAGATCTCATCTCTTTAAGGCGTTGACCCACTACATTTTTTATGAGTATCAACATTTCACTTTTGTCATTCATCTGAGTAACTTGATCTTGAAAGTTCTGCAGCAGAAGTAGCATTTTATTATATTCTTCATCCCGGTGATGCCATTTCTCAGACATTAAGGCCATCTGCTTTTCCAGCTCATGTATACGGCTTCCATCAAAAACCTTTAGAGTTTCCTAAAATTTTTTTTACAAATGACATTGATTTATTTTACTCCACCTTTCTAGAAAACCATTCAAGGTCACTTGCAATAATAAAATTACATCACAACCACAGTACACTAATGTAAAACACAATGAACATTAAGAACCTTAAAATAGACTGGAACAAACTGAAACAATAGCCATAGGCCTGCTGAAATTAACTCATCTTTACTCTCCACCTAAAGGCAGGTAGTAACAGCCTAACAACCCTCTTGAGAAGTCAGTTCCAGATCTTATTCTCTTTATTTCTTATTTTAGAAATGAGACAACTTAAAATTCAACATTAAAATTATATGTATTTGAATATGTAAATCATTTCAAGAACAGTGAAGAGAGCAGCCCATTTCAACCATTGTGGCTGAGGTGTAGTGGAGCCATGTCTGAGGCTTATGGGCTTTATTCTCCTCACACCCCAGCTTCCCAAGGCAATCTGGTACCACTCAGATGTACTGGACAACACCTTCCACCTTCCACAGCTGATATGCCGCTGACTGCTTCAGATTCTTGGCTTTCGTTTTTCTGTGAAACAAGTGTTAAGAAAGCCTTTGCCAGATAACTTACATCAGGATGCTGCAGAACTGGTAATGATTCGGGTGGAGGCCCAACGACTTTCACAGAGTCCTCCCACTTGTACGTTCTCTGTACGCTTGTCCAATTCAAAGCTGGCAATAATGACTGGAAACCATCAAGACCCAAGTGCCATAAACCTGATGC